CTCTCGGCAAAACTTACTCCTGCCCCGACAGCGAGCACCGTCGCTGTTCCAGCTGCTCCAGCAACGAGTACCGCTGAGAGTGTGCATGATTTATATGCGGTGAATGCAAATCCTACTTCCCAGGGATTTTGGCATGTTACTTATTTTGTAAAGCTGGTGTGATTATTTTACATATTCTCACTTTTCTATTTGGGGGGGAAAAAAAAAAAAAGAAAAAAAAAAAACCCCAAAATAAACCAAACCAAAAGACCAATCCAAACCAACCAAACAAAAAAAACCCTAAAACAGCAGAGGGGCATCAAAATATTAAATCTGAGACAGAGATGATGCAAGAGTCAAACAAACACTTATGATATATATTTTTGTTCCATGTTAGCAGCAATTTCCAGTATCTGCCTTCTTTTCCTCCTTGCCTGGGGAAGTGGTGTACATCATGTTTTACTGGATTTTTTGCTCATTTGCCCATCACTTCCAACTTGATTAATACAATGTATTGTGCTTGATGTTTGGATTTCAGAAACTGCAATCAACGCTAAATCCTCCTTAGTGAGTGATTTGCTATGTTTAACAGACAGCCTGTGCAGTCTGCTAGTGATCACAGAATCGTTATGGCTGGAAAAGACCTTTAAAATCATCAAGTCCAACAGTTATCTAACTACCGGGCCCACTTCTAAACCACATACCTGAGCACCATATCTAGACAGCTTTTAAATACATCCAAGGATGGCGATTCAATGCCTCCCCTGGCCAGCCTGTCCCAGTCTTTGATAACCCTTTCAGTGCAGAAGTTTTTCCTTATGTCTAACCTAAACCTCCCCTGGTGCAACTCAATTGCATTTCCTCTTGTCCTATCAGTTGTAACTTGTGAGAAGAGAACAACCCCCACCTCGCGACAACCTCCTTTCAGGTAGTTGTAGAAAGCGATAAGGTCTTCCCTCAGCCTCCCTTTCTCCAGACTAAATGACCCCAAGTCCCTCAGCCGCTCCTCATAAGACTTGTTCTCAAGACCCTTCACCAGCTTCGTTGCCCTTCTCTGGACCCTCTCCAGCACCACCTCAATGTCCTTGTCATACTGCAGCGCCCAAAACCGAACACTACTCAAGGTGCAGCCCCACCAGTGCCAAGTACAGTGGGACAGTCACTTCTCTAGCCCTGTTGGCTACACCATTCCCGATGCAGCCCAGAATGCCGTTGGCCTTCTTGGCCACCTGGGCACACTGCTGGCTCCTGCTCAGCTGGCTGTCAGTCAACACCCCCAGGTCCTTTGCTGCCGGACAGCTTTTCAGCTACTCCTCCCCAAGCCTGTAGCGCTGCATGGGGTTGTTGTGGCCCAAGTGCAGGATCTGGCACTTGGCCTTATTGAAGCTCATACTATTGGCCTCCACCCATCCAGCAATCAATGCACTGAGAATAGCATGGTTCCAACTGTACCTCTGCGATGCCTTTTGGGGCTGTATCAAGGAGTGAAGCCTGGATAGCGCAGGCTGCCTCACCTCTTCTAGCTGTACTCCATAACGTGGTGCAACCTCCCCCCTGGCCCTCGGTACTTGGCACGATTTCCTCCCCACCTGAGCCACATAATAATACAGTGGACCAGAACAATACATAATGGTCTAACTTGAAAGAAAGAAAAGGTGGAGAGCAACGCACTAGAACACTACAGCAACCCCTTAGTGTACCTGGTTCCCACAGCTCCTACCATTTGAAAAATAATAACTACAATCAATCACTCCTGACAACATATGCATCATGGCCACAGAGAAGGAAGTACCAGGACTCCAAGTTCTGGCAAGTCCTGGGCTTGCGCAACCAGTGGACAGTACCAGAATAGTCCATTTTCCGAGCTGGGCTGGAGTACAAAAGTACCCGACAAAAGTCAATTACCTCAGATCCTGTAAGCAGCGATTCTAGCAAAGACTCTTTGAGCTCTTCTGGATCGCAGCGGGCTGTGGCCAGTATCACCCCTGAGTTGAGACGCCGCTCAGGCTGACACCTCGAGGTCAGGGCAACAGAATCCTTCTCAAGCCTCAACTACCACCCATTGAGGAACACCGATGCATTGTGAGTATTTACCCTAAATTTGAGAGAGGGAAATTTTGACTACAGGCTAGCCTCTCTTCCATCCTCCTCTGCACCTATGTTTGTGATATACATATTAGCTTTATGGATGTGGGTGTTCTTCTGTCCATCTGTGCATGTGTAGGACTTTAAAGCAGTACCTGTTGGCTCTTCAGAGTCTCCCACTGTTAAGAAATTCCTGATCCTAGCAATCAGAGACCTGTATGTGTGTGCCTACTTATATGCTTTGCTTATATATATATACCCATTAATTTGAGATCTGTGCTTTTGCTTATATGTGTAGGTATTGATTTGGGATACCTTACAGTAGGTGAGTGTGAATCTTGCCATCTTCAAATCTGTAATTAGGTCGCTGTTTAGTTATTTTCTTAAATCACTTTGTAAGCCTTTAGATCAGTTAATGATTAAGCGCTTCTAAAATTCAACCTCTTGATTTACATCATATCACTAATAAAGTTTGAATCACTACTAAATCATAACCATGTCAAATACTTCCATCCGCAACAACGCCACGCCAAAATACAGAACTATGACTAGTTAGCTGAAAATTTTCCTTTTCAGCACAAATCTTAGCTTTGGATCATCGCATTGTAGTGTGTTGAGAAAAATGTCTGTTGTTCTCTAGAAAAACCTGATGAGTGCAGGCTCTGGCCAGTCGTCTTTTCAGTAGGTCTTGGGTGTTAAAAGCATAAAGTATATGTATGTTGACAGTTAGAGTGACACTGCAAAGGACTGAAGAAACATTCTTTTCCTAAGTGGCACGACCAAGAAATCACAGCCTAAGGCTTTGTAGTGAAATATCAGTAAGAAATTTACACAAACAGTGTACAACTATAATTAAGAACACTGTAGTCATGTCAGTTACTGATGCTCTAGTTTGCAGAAGACTTATTTCTCTCAGAACCACCACAGCCTCAGTTGAGCAGCAGAAGCTCAGCCAGGGTTTCTGAGAGCAAGAGAAAGGCACTAAAATGCCTCTTCCAAGACATAACAGCAAAGTCAAGCACTGAACAGCTCAGACAGTGGTAGGGGCAACACTGCACTTGCTTTGGCCACTGTATGAAACAAACATCAAAAGGCACATGCTTCCTTTTTTTTTCCCTATTAGTCAGTGACCAAACAACATGTATTACTACATCCCGCATCATCTTTGAACTTTACATTTGACCTGAACTCTGATTGGAGCATGCCTCTAGCATACAGGCATCGGGATCGATCTCTGTCCAGTGAACTTTCCTCTGTGACCCACTCTGAGAGCAGCCATGTCTAGTGTAATATTCTTCTAACCCTGTCAAACAAAATTTATTTATTTATTTCTTAGTAAAAATTATTCTGATTAATTCCTTTTCAAGGAAACTTAACAACAACACATTAAAAGCACACACACACTTATGAGGACTGGAAATGCATGAGGATTTCAAGTTTTACCGACAAGCAAACAAGAAAACCGAATGTGTGAAGTTCTAAAAAACCCATGTTAATCACATAGTGCTAAAATCCCATACTAGCCAGAATGATACTAGCTTTCCAGCATTTCCCCACTGAATCGCCAGGAGGCATTTTCTGTAGCAGAAAAGAGAATTAATTCTTCGCCTCCTACCAATGAAACCCCTATGACTTAAATGCTAACTCTATACTTCAGATGTTGAGAAATATCCCCAGAGGAAGAAGGATATCACATTCTAAACATCCAAAATTGTCTCAGGAAGTAGACGAAAACCACTGTGTCTTACCTCAATACACACATATCATACACACACACCCCACCTGCCCTGTACACTTACAATGCCATAAAGCTATTAGAATATTGGGGTTTTTTTACCTCTTCTGATTTCACAAGTAGTCAAAAAATTCAAAGTCTTCTTGTTTCAGGTGTTTCTTGCAGTCAGGGTTTATATATATATATAAAATATAAAACGAATATACAGCACTCCCGAAGCCATGGAACTTTGCCTCTTCCCTGCCCCTTTCACAGTCACACCTACACGTATCAGAACTCAAGTATTTAACCTGCAAGTTCATTCCTGTCCCACAAATGAAAGTCCTTGTTTCTATAGGTGTGAAACTTCCACACCTTTTGCATTCACTTCTCTCTCTTTGGGCTTAAAAAGCTTTTTCTCTTAACCATTTCTTTCGCCTGGCTTTGTTGAACAACCTTTTCAATGATAACTCCTGCAGGCTTTAACAGAGCAACAGAAGAAATCAGTTATTGTCAGAAATGTGATTTCTACACCAGTGGCGATACTGCCTTGGGATCGTGCTCGGGCACTACAAGAGCGGGAGCACCACACCCAGTGGAGAGACTGGCAATTCTCTAAGGCAAGAGCATAGGAACCTTATGCAGGGAGCAAGGTAAATACTTTACGGGCACAGGACAAAAAGAACATAAGATACAAATTATCATGACACTCTTCTCAGAAAGCTGCTAATCTGAAACAAGAACAGTAGATTTCTTAGGCTGTCTGCAGGTTTAGGTAATCTATTTTCTCTTTAACACTATTTCACTACTGCCTAATTTTCACTGAACAATTCAAGTTTCGTGTGTGCTATCCAGCAGGAGAAACTGCTAGAACCACTCAAGTATTTTAGGGATGAGGGCTTAGAAAAAAAACAAAAAAACAAAAAACCAAACCAAAATGCAGATAAAAGTGAAAGGAAGCAGTCGCTGTCCTAGAAGATCCCAGGTGGTATTAGCAGTACACACATGACCCGTGTCTCCTGCTTTCCTGGGAGAACCAGCTCTCCCACCCGCTCTCTTCCCCACCACCCTGCAGCAGTTCCAGCTGGCAATTGTGACTGAGCGCCAGCTGCAACTCCACTGCTCCCAAGACTTACTTTTCCATACACCCCACTGTAAGCTACCACACCTCAGGCCGTGAGCTTTGCTATCAGCAGGTATAGCTGCTGCCTCCTCTCAGCCTGCATGGCTTAACGTGTTCGCAGCTTGGTATTAAATCGGGTAAACGTTTAACTGAGGAACGAACACGAAAGGCCCGCGCTCGCACACACCCGCCCACGGTTGAGCCATCCGTCGGGCAGAGAGGAGCGGCAAAGCAATACACTTAAAGCAATACACTCCCCTCCGCGTGTTCAAGGGTGACTGCGGGCCGCGCCCCATGCCGTGAGGCTTTATCAGCTGCCCGCCCCGCGTTCGACAGGACCCTGCCCGCCCGCGCCCAGCAGAGCAGAACGACAGCGCCATCTTCCCCACCCCCACGGCGTGCCGTCTCCATGGTTACTGAGCGGAAGTGGCAACACCTTGTGGAGCGGTGATTGGGTATTGACCTGGCATGCTTCGCTCGCCATTGGTGGCTCGCGCCGGAGAGGCGCGGCTTCGAGGCTTCCCGCGGGCGCGTGTGATTGGGCCAGGG